TCACGTCGTCAACGAAATCAAAAGGTAAGCGCTGCATTTTATTAATTATCAGCTCATTTCAAGATCAAAGGCCGCAATAGGAGAGCGCGGCATCAGCATTGGAAAGATACGTTTGTCTTACTACTTTTCATGAAGATGATTGGGTGTTGACCGTCTGCTTCTTACTTTGTTTCATTCGCGGCAGTTTACGCGTCGGCTTGCTGAAGAGATACTCAGCTACTCGTCAAAGAAAGCATATACACATAAACCCTATTGAATAAGCATGTTATAAACTTCTGAAACATTGGTGTTTCATATTTTAGAGCAGTCACCAACACTGCCTATAACACGCTCTCACACGTTTATTATTTTAACATTTTGTGAGTAACTTTTTCATATGTGGTTTCAACAACCAGAAGCATTTACACTGGTCCAGTTTCGTCTGGAATGCGGCCCAGACCACCTCCTGAAGTGGTTTGAGCGATCTGATTTATATCCGTCTCGAATGCGTTTCGGAGGGCATTTACACCTGGTCTTTTCACGATCGGATAGCTATCCGATCAGATGAAGTGACCAGGTGTAAACAGCCCCTTCGAGTAATTTCCGTGAATCAGTTCAGGGAATCCGTTTTAATGAATCGATTAAAAAACTGATTCAGTGATTAATTTGCGTCATCACTAAAATATTCCCGAAGTCACCGTCAGTTCATGTATTATTTTAATTAAAATATATGTAGCCTACAGTACGTGAATATTGTTGGTTATTGTATTTTATATTGCTATATATAAATAAAAATATAAAAATTTACTTGTGTTCATTTAGGCCTAGTGAAAAATTAAGCCACTTGCAGCAAGCATAGCATACACACGCACAGCCTACATATAAAAAAAAGTAGAGAAAGAAAGAACGCTGAGCTAGTTTTTTCTTGCTTCGGCCAATGTGTTGACATTGGCCTCCGTTACACTCACCCCCCCTAAACCTCACTCCCATCCGGGTCACGGCACCAATGTAACCCCTCTCCCCCGGGTCCTCTCCGCCACACCTCGTTCTCGCTCCGAGTGGGTCTACGGCATGCGAGGTGGACGCACTAACAAGGAGGCTAAAGACTGCAGCCTCTAGCGCGTCTCTTGAGATCAGGGGAGTGAGGTTTACCTGCACAGCACCTACCGCTGGCCTCCGTTACAAATGCATGCTGTCACCCATGTCAGAAATCACTGGCTTATCACTGTAAATACAGTATGAATGCTTCTTTAGGTATAGCCTATCATAATCCCAGAATGCATTTTGATGAAAAAGTCCTTATCAGATGGCCTAAAAGTGTAGTTAAAAATAGTTCAGTCTAACCAAATTCTTGTTTTATATCTAGCCTGTCAGTGTGTAATATTGAAATCATTTGTGAGTTTCCTGTGCATTTGAGTCATTTGTAGAATCTGCCATATGCCTAATTTCACTTGATGCACTGATAAATTCTTCACAAAAAGACCAAAAACATTTGTTAAGAAAGTACATGGGCAACATGAACTCAATATTGAGCCCATATCACACCTTCTGTGGCCTCCGTGTCTATAAAGAAAACCAACAGCCGGGGTGCTGGAGTTAGTGAACGGAGTGCCATAAGACAGAGAACTTATTTTCACAGAGCAGTTCCATAAAGATCACATCATAATACCTTTTTTAGTGTTTCTGCTGCATTTCCTGTTTGATTTACTGCGCAGTCCCAAAGGGCTGATGGGTGATTGTTGCATACTCCCACTATGAGGCAAAACCTGCCATTATCGTGTCAACCTGTTGAGTCTTCATTTATTCTCCAGGTAAAATATTGAGTTGAGTATTCTCAAAGCATGGTTTTGATCGGAAAAGCATACTAACATACTATTCTTTCTGCAGTATGTAGTATGTATACTGTAGGCTACATATGCTAAATTCCTGCATGCAAATTCCAAGATGTCATCCACCATGTTTAACATCTGGACTACCAAATACAGTTTTTTTTTTTTTTTTACACAAAATTGGGGAAAAGGGTCATGTGTCTTTTTTTATAATGTAATAATAATACAATAATAATACACAGCGTATATCTTGTGTTGTATTCATACTTGTGACAGAAAATAAATATCACAATTATCTGAAAATAAAATAATTAAAAACTTAAATATGAATTTTTTGAAATGAATATTGTTAATTTTTTATTTTTTTTAATATGCTCGTATTTATATTTTTTGTTTGTTAATTTAGTACTTCAATTTGAACTAAAAGAAAATGAGAAATTACCTTGGCAACTAGCTTTTTTTAAATATTTATTTTCAAATATTTATTTTTATTATTGTTTGATATAGTACGACATAGTAGTGTATGTTTCAAAGATTTATATGCAGATTTGTTTTTGCTATTAATATACATTTTAATGTGGTGTTATGCTCGTATTTATATTTTTTGTTTGTTAATTTAGTACTTCAATTTGAACTAAAAGAAAATGAGAAATTACCTTGGCAACTAGCTTTTTTTAAATATTTATTTTCAAATATTTATTTTTATTATTGTTTGATATAGTACGACATAGTAGTGTATGTTTCAAAGATTTATATGCAGATTTGTTTTTGCTATTAATATACATTTTAATGTGGTGTAATGTTCTGAAATCAAAACATGAATTGGTTTTTAGGGTTTGTAGTGAAAAAATATATAGTATATTAAGAACATTCAAGTGATCTTATCAGATTCATTTCAAAGTTGAAATTTGATGATCTAAAATACAAACAGGAGAAGCGTGTCTGTCACTGGAACACATTTCAGTCGAGGGCCTCTATGGTGTAAGGAATTTTATTTAACATTTTCATGAAATTTGATACCTGCTAGTGTACAGTACACATTTAAATATTTAACTTCACATACTTTAAAAGAAAAAAAGTTATTTCCCCACTTGCAATAACGATGAACTGCTGCGAGTTCGACGACAAACGGTTGTGGTCAGTTTAGCAAACAACTCGCACAACTGCAAAATTGTGTATTTACCGTGTTTCATATATTACAGTTATGTACATAGGTACTCGCCTTCATCTCCTGCCACATGTATATGCATATACAGAGTTTCTAAGAAAAGCAAAACAAGTCATTTACTGTGCTGTACGTTGAATTGTTTTTAGAGCTATTTCCATTTAAACTTACCCTCATCCTGAAGTCAAAAGCAACAAAGTAGCATATTTCTCCTTCCATCATCTCTAAAAAAAAACGCCTGCAAACACCAGTGATGTTTTCAGGCAACCCGTGATCACAGAGGTCACCGATGATTTACCTCCATATGAGCGAGACAGATTTCCATACTGTCTCGGAGCTTCACCTGGAGTTCGTAGGGAAGTCAAAGCACCTTCACAGCTTTACACCTCCAATCCCCGCAGATCAGCTCATTAACAGGGCCTTAACACCTGCCGTCTATTTATCCTTAAACACGCTTCTAATACGACTTCATCCCGCCTTCCGCCCGGGAGTTGGTTCCTCGCAGAAGAAGCGCTCGTCTGACTGGAATATTCTCGAATGCACATTAACGCAAAGATTCGGAGTACGATACAAACAGTTTAATTGTGTCATTAACAATCAGTAACCACTCCTAGTTAGAACATTTCTGCATAAAGAAACCGAGAAACACTTATAAAACAGTCAGTCGTAACAAAATAACTGGTGTTCTCATTGCAATAAACTCATAAAAAAAGAACCACTTTTTTTTATACATCATATTTATACAGGAATAGCTTTGAATTGGATCGTTAACCAAAGGAAGACACATTGCAAACATCGATTTCACACAAATTGCATATGTTTTTCTCTCTAAGGTGGTCTCTATAGGTTAGTCATTTACCTAAGCTTATTTGCATGATAGTAAAAATTGCATACAACATTAATTGTGAAGCTCGTAGCATGAGTTGCTTGACATACAGCACTTTTTTAGGCAACCGTTAAAGCACATTTTCCATTTAAAACGTTAAGACACTTCTGATTTTACTGCCCATCAAAATTACAATTATAAATAGAAAAAGATCAGTAAAACGAAGAGCGCCGGGTGACGGAAACGTTCCCCAAACGTAACAACATCAGAACGCAAAATAAATAATGCGAGACGATGCTTGTGATTCACATTTGAAACTGTGGGAATCCAGGATTTTACAGTGACCAAAGTTTTGCAAAATAATCTTAACATCGGCAGTGCCATATAGTACAAGGCATTTGTTGGCATAGTTTCTTTAAGACTGTATACTTTTTTTACAATTAATATATGTCTATATATATATTTATATTTCTTCCAACCAAATAAGATTGAGCCGTTTTCCCTCGGTTTACCTGCAGGTCGTAGGGGGCAGGTAAACCGAGGGAAAACGGCTCAATCTTGGTAATCCAGAGACCGAGCCATCCTTTTTTTTCTCTCTCTCTCTCTCAAAGAGAACTCGTTAGCCAGCAGTGCTCGACTCAGTACCTCATCATTAAGGCCTTTGTCTACCCCTCTTCTCCAATGTCATGCATTTTTTTCCTTAAAAAATCCAGTTAACATCACATACGTAAACATCAAAGTCTATCAAACTCCATTGACTTTCCTTTTTTTAAAATCAGTAGCTCAAAATCAGTGTAAAAACAACAGACAACAAGTGCAGTCAGCAAATATCCACAGCAACATACTGTTTGCTTGAAGGAATGGTTCACGCAAACATGAAAATTCTGTCAGAAAGTGACTTCCGAAGAACAGCCTGGCCACTCTTTTCTATATAATGCAAGTGAATGAGAACTGGGGCCATCAACGCAGTTTGGATAACCAATTTGTGATATTTATACTCTTAACGTGCTATAAAATTACTCATACCATGGTATATTTGTTATGAATAATTTGTACTATTGGTCTTAGTCCATTAGGTTAATAAAAAAAAATTATAATTTAAAATAATAAAATGAAATAAGTGAAAAAAAAATTTTTCAAAAAAGTTGTATTTACAGCAAAAAAAAAAAAAAAAAACTAAAAAAAAAAAAAATCATATTGTGATATATATATACCATTACCCTGTCATAAAATGACTTTCATAAAACTTATTTTATGATGCCTTTGTGCATTTCGGAGCTTGACAGCCCAAGTCGCCATTCACTTGAAAGGAAACAACATTTTCATTTAGGAGTGAACTATTCCTTTAGGATTTTTCTTTTTACATTTCGTTTCGTTGTGCAGATTATTGAAATGATGCAAGAGTCTTTACAGTGAAATAGTCCACGCTTTACAAAACTGTGAAAGTTAATCATCTCTGTATTATTCAGTCTCGTGTAAAAAGTCTTACAGTTTCGCTCATGGAACACAGACAAGAGTGAACGAGAATAACACCAGAAGCAAAAGAAAGCCGTCCGTTACTCTTTGGCCTCCTGCTCAGTTTGGGCCTGTCTCATGGCGTGCGTTTCGTGCAGCAGGTGCTCTTCCATTTTAATGGAGAACATGGTGCTGTTGGTCTGCACGCTCTCGTCCAGCTCGGTCAGCAGCTCGTCCCCCTTGAAGTCCGTCAGGCCCTCGTCCTTGTTGTTGTTGTTGGAGGGGAAGCCCAGGGGCGGCTCTTTCAGCTTGCCGGCGTGGTTGATGTAGAAGCGCTGGTTCTGGAAGAACTTGATGATGGTGTGTTTGGGCAGGTCCAGCTGTGCCGAGAGCGTGTGGATGCTTGACAAGTTCCTAAAATAATAAATGAAAGAAATTAAAAAATAATACATTTAAGTGAGAGAGAGAGAGACGGCCAGATGAAAAAGATAAGTTTCTAGCTGAATTTCCAGCAAAAATAACCATATTGTGATATATGCCATTACCGTGCTATAAAATGACTCATATTATGATATATGATTTTGGTTACGTCGCCCACCTCTAGCAATAACCATATTGTGATATATGCCATTACCGTGCTATAAAATGACTCATATTATGATATATGATTTTGGTTTACGTCGCCCACCTCTAGCAATCAGATGTGCGGATTTTATAGCTTTACCGGTTCCTGTTAATGCTCGGCTGTTAACACGAATGTGAACTCTTTCATCAGAATATTCGCATAAAAAGTGCCGGTCTGTTGATTGCTTATCAAGCCCTATTCAAAAGCTGTTGCTTAACGTGGTAAATACAGCCTCAATATGTGGCAAGATCTCATCGCGAGAGATGTGCGGAGTGTGAGCGCTATCGGTGTCTGTGTTTAGGCCACTTTCACGTCGGTGTAAACATATGACACATTTGCTCTGAAATGCGCCATTGTTTGCGCGAGTTTAGGCCATTGTAACCGGCAGCTGCTGTTTTCCATACACTATACAGACTGCTTTTCCTGGGACATTCCCAAGAGGAACGGGAACGCTTGATAACACTTTTTGTAAATATGCCAGTCTCCTGATAACATATCAAAGACACTGGAATACAATGAGCAGAAATAAATGGTACATGAGCATGATGCACAGAAGGATTTCTGTACATCTGACATGCGTTAAATTAAAGTTGAAGTACGATTTTACATTTTGAAACATACTGATGCAGAAGTTTCTACCATAATGCTAAGGTGTTCCTATGATACCAAGTTCCCTCATTCAATGAAAGTCTATGGAATTAGCTTCACGTTGTGTTTAAGATCTTTTTAACCATGGGAAAATCACAGTACTGTACGTAATTTCATGTTTTATGGCTTTATTATGCATGCATTTACAGTTGCATTTATTTAAATGCTTGATGACACTACAGTAAGGTCTTGACATTAGTCAATTCATTAGTTAACAAACTAACCAACCATGTGAAATATGTGCATATGACAATTATTTTTCAGAGTTGCGTAACTAAAAAAAAATACTACTTTAAAAGAAAATACTACTTCAGTCTTTCTAGTTCAAACGTTCATGTTTAATTCAATGTTTCTTCCCATATATATAATTATTTGTGCAATTTCTGAGTGACATTTTTTTTTTCTACACCAATTTTTTTAATGTAGTAGTAAATGCTGAAATGAACATGAACTAACATGCCGTGGAAGTATGTTCATTTTTAGTTTAATGTTAACTACTGTGGTTAACTAATGTTAATTAATGAAACCGTATTGTCAAGTGTAACCACATGTTTTAGTAGACATCTGCAAACCTCCAGCAGCCATGCATGCATCTTGTCGCCTTAAGTGGTGAAAATGGAAGTGAATAAATGTTTTTCTTCCCCGCATGTTATTTTCTTGGAATGACCATATGCTTGCGAGTAAACAAAATAATATCTGATCAAACACGCAGCTGTAACCACAAGAACTGTGGGATTTTTGTGATTAAATATGGATTCGGAATAGTGATGAATTTATTCAAACAGCTAGCTGTCCTTAATATCTAAATGCAGACAAATGATGTTGCTAATGACTGTTTCGCTTACACAGCAGCGGAGCGCAAAATTACCAGCGTTTGAAAAAGTTCTACGGCACCTCCAAACTTCAAATGATCAAAACAGACTTAATTAGACACGTTTTTGGTAAAAAAATAAATAAGGCATTACCATATGGTTATCATATGAAAACCATTTCAAGTTGAAATGCCAGGAAAAATAACTCGAATATTACACTCTCAGGAAAAAAAGGTGCAAAAGCTGTCATATTTAGTTACTAATATGTACACCTGAGGTACTAATGTGTACATTTAAGGTACTAAAATGCACTTTTTAGGTGTAAATAATAGACAAAGGTGGACACAGCTTTTGTACCTTTTTTTCAGAGTGTATATTGTGTGTGTTTGTGACACTGACCTGTAATGGGTCGGTGGGCATGTGCAGCAGGTGAGGAGGTCTGTCCACATGGTGCTGCGGTCCTCCGTTGCTCTCCTGCTCATATATAGCGTCACGTTCCACTTGGGACAAACTGAGGAACCGGCGGATCATGGACAGGTTCTCCCAGAGCGTGCGGTTCTCCGGAGACGGGTCCTCTTTCCAACGCAGCAGTTCACAGAGCCAGCCCTGCAGGAGAACATGAAGACAACACATCAGATGTGAAAAGAAACAAGTCGACTTAACAAATTCCAGTTAAAATGAAAAAAACCTTCATGTTTCATGTCATGTATTCTAGGTTTCAAAAGTTTGGGGTTGGTCAGAAGTCTCTTATGCTCACCAAAGCTGCATTTATTTGATTAAAAATGTAATAAAAATTGTGAAATATTATTACAACTTAAAATAACTGTATTCTATGTGAATATATTTTAAAATGCAATTTATTCCTGTGATGCAAAGCTGAATTTTCAGCATCAGTGTCACATTTTCCTTCAGAAATCATTCAGATTTGCAGCTCAAGAAACATGTCTGATTATTATCAATGTTGAAAACAGTTGTGCTGCTTAATATATCGGTGGAAATTGTTGCATATTTTTTTATTTCAGGATTCTTTCATGAATACAAAGTTCAAAAGAACAGCATTTATTTAAAATAGAAATCTTTCTTTTGTCTTAACTGTCACTTTTGATAAATTTAATGCAATGAATAAAAGTATTAAAAATCTTAATGGAACCAAACCTTTGAAAAAAATGTTCCCCATTTTGTATTCATTGAAAATTGTTCTTTTTTCTTATACATCACATAGGGTGGAAAATTACATAAAGAGTATAGTTACCATTTTAACATTACACCTTCCCTACCCTACTGTTTAGAAGATAATTATTATACTATGCATGGCTGCAATGCAAAAAAACAAAACATTTATGTGAACATAATCGCACAATCAATATTCATGAGTCAAACTAACAAGTTTAATAACTTCTCACGCAATACCTTTATAACTAATGCAGTGAACAAACAAAAATATGTACTGTATATATGCTAAATATTATTGATTTTGTTTAGTTTGAGAGAGGAGTTTCTATCTGAAAAGTACTAGAAGAAGCATTAATGGATTGGCTAAGGAACTGGAACCATTAAATTCCTTATGATTCCCATTCCTAATATAAAGCGTGGTCAAATCCTAGTTTTAGGAAAAGAAAAGAGGAAAGGGGAGCTCTAGAGTGTGTTCCAGCAGTCGAGTCCTGGCACACTTACAAACGTGATGCCGTAATCTCCAGGCCAGTGTGTGGCAGCACCTTTCATTTCCACAGGATTACCCAGCACACACACACACACACGGAGCAGGAGCCAGAGCCACACCAGAGCGCTGCATGGCAAAGATAACTCAGCATTTCTGTTGTCCCATGTTCCTGCTCCTCCCAAAAGCCATGTAAAACCCCAGAGAGCGAGCGAGTGAGAGAGGCTCATCACAGCTCACCTTGTTCCTCTGCCATGTTTATTGTCGCATTTTGCTTTATTTGCACACGTGGGGATTTGAGTCCCGTTCCTGCTGTGATGTCTGTAGCCCGACGCGCTTCAAACACGCACACACCTTATCGCAGCCATTAAGCGCACTATCGTAAAATAATCCTCAATCAAACATCTGTGGATAAAACGCCAAACAAATCCCACTGAGCCAAAGAACGAGCCACAAAAAAAAAAAAAAAAAAAAAAAAAAAATCAACATGCAACCAAACCGAAAAAAGTCAACAGAGGTATTAGCATTAATGCTGTTGCATTATAGAACAAAAACACAACAATAAACACTTTGCATTGGGCAGCCACACTGACAGTGTAATGCTCTCTGGGCCTTGAAGACCTGAAAAAGTGCTTGTATTTGTCCAATTGCATTGCTTCCACTGTCTTACCATAAACAGTGAGCGCTCGCACAGAGTAGAGTCAGCCTGGATACGGGAACGTTACTGGGATTTGGTTGGTCAAATCTGACAAACACTATAAAGGATAATGTATATTTTTGGAGAATATGGAGATAGGAAAACTAGTCATGTACAACTAACACAGACTATAGCTTGGCTAGTCATGGTAAAAATTGTTCAGAGTTTGCGCTTCATTAGTTCCCAGTTGCTTCATTAGGCATCAACTTTGTTTTAAAGTTCCTTCTAAAATCATTATGAGAAATAAAAAGGACTAATCAGTCAATAGTTGACATACAGTAAAGAGCTATGAAAATGTGAAGTTAATTAAATGAGAAATGTCTGAGCTCATATTGAGATCTTCTGATTTTGGTATCTTGGCAAAACTGAGCACAGATTGAGAAATTCTTACAATCACCTTTGAAGCTCTAGACGAGAAATATATAAGAATATTGTGTTGTTTTATTTATTTTTTATTTATTACTATTTTTATGGGTACTGTGTGAATCGCCAATAAACAAACAAACAAATAAATAAGGTCACATTTCACACTAAAAATTAAATTATAAAATCTTTCATATCTAAAATAAAATAGAAATTTAAGACTAATTTTATTTAAGCCAAATTTACAGTCACATTTCAGATAAAAAAAAACTTTATTTTTTTATTTAAAATAAAATAAAATAAAAATCATTAACCCAAATTTAAGGACAAACTTAATAAAAAATTAAGTTTTATTTATTTATTTTAAAATAAAATAAAATAATATTAAACTTAATTTATTTTAAGACTAATTTAATTTACTTTTTCATCATAATTACTTTCAGGTGAAATATGACCTTAAAATGTTCTTGACAGATTTTGTGTGAGCTTCACCCATTTACAGCTCAACTTTAAGATTATGCCACCCAAACGTCCATAAAGGCCGTGGACGGGTGGACAGGTCAAGTGGGACGTGAAGAGAGGGTCCAGGCAGCCCACCAGAGCCTCCATTGTATTCGGGGTATAAATAGCAGTGGTACATTCTGATAAAAATATTTCTCTGGCGCACAATGGCTGAATTCATGCATAAGATTCACTCAACTAAGCAGGATACGGTGTTGTCTATGCGTGTGAGGGCCGAGCGGTCACAAGCTGCCAATGAGACAAGCACAGGACGCTACTGTGAGAGAACAGCATGGTGTTTATGTCCCTCGCCTGGACCCAGATGCCAGCGGACACATTAATAACCTTGGGATTGAGTTCAGGAGCCCCAGACAGTTGCGGTTTTCCACATCACAGTCACATGGCACCATCAACACCTTTTTATTATCTCATTTGCTTCTTATCGTCCCCTCTGCTCACCCTGTTCTGCCAGGCCTCAGACTCCTGAGACGATACCCGTCTCAAATCACTTGGACCTCGATGTCGTCACCGGTCCCGAATCGGCCAACAGCTCCCCAGCATCACTGGGCCGCATCCCAGTTTGTATACTTCTTCTACGCACTAAAAGTGTGTACTTGGTTAGCGATGATCGTCAAGCAAATACCTTCGAGAAAATAGTGTTGGAGATAAGTATCGGGCAAGGTTATTGGGAAACGTACTTGTTACGATATAAACTACCCATAATGAACAGTAGGAAGCTACTTTAAAGTTACAAACTAAAACAAAATTGAAGAGATTTAAGCGACAATATCTTACAATCGTATCTAACAATCACATTTTATCTGGTACCAGTAAATACCACCAACAAAATAGAAAAAGAAAAAGAAAGAAAAAAAACGGTAAGAGAAAAAAAATGCAATTTTAATTTATATTTTTTATATAATTTATAAAAATATAAATAACTTATACAATTTTTAATTTATATTTTTTAAACAAAAAAATAGGAAAAAAACAGCATAAGTATTTAAGAAGTATTTAATTTAAATAACTAAAAACAGAGACAAATATATCTGTATTGTAACATTTTTCTTAATTTTTTTTTAATTTAATTTAATTTTAAATGTAATTTTATTAATTTAAACACACACACACACTATGTATAAATATGTGCACACAGTTGACAATTTTTGTTTTGATATTCTATTTAAATTTAATTTCAATAAATAATTAAAAACAAAGGAATTATTTATATATGTAATTTTATTTTAGATTTTATATTTCCTATATATGGCGAATATATACAAGTGTCCACAGCTGACGAACAGTACACCTCCGGACACCAATTCTAATTTTGCTTACTATAAGGTACGGAACTATATGAATTATGATGTCAGATCAGCTGGTCACGGCTGTCTCCAGATCAGCGCTGTGCCCTCTATGCCACGGCTGTTCGCTTATCAGTCATCACATCGCTGGCTGCCATTCTCAAACAAGTCAGCAAGTTTCGGTGGAGATACGGCCCCTATAGACCTGAGGGCGTACCCAGGCTCCTCTATTAAACAAACACACAAACTCACGCGGACGCCTGTCAAAAACCGCAGTCTGGGGGCAGATGTTAAAGAACTATTCTTTCCATTTCGTTCTTTTCCATTGTTTTTAAATACAGATGCTAATCCATTGTTATGGCTTCAGTCTCGAGCGCGTTGAAGTAAAAACAAAAGCCAGAAACAAACATCTTGATGTCAGGCAGAGGGCTGCAGTGTTCAACAGACAAAGCATTATTGTTTCCTGCTCTACCGCCCATCCGGAATCTGGCACCGACTCAGCTTTAGCAGACAGTGTCATGCAGATCAATTCAAAAGATAATACAGTATGTTCAAACCTGTTTTCGTCTGCGCGCCGGGCCCTAAGAGCAAACGTGTGTGGGGTTTGCGGATGTACGAGCGAAGGAATCGGAGCCGCCGCATGCGCGTCAAGTCCATCTGTTGGCTGAAACATATTAATGCGCTCGTGCAGCATATGTGAATCTTCTGCAACAATAAGCAAAATCAAAAAGGGGGCCAAAAATAGGACGAGAACGGACTCCCTTTTTGGATATCTTGCTATGCAAATAGATCTGCTCCCAGTATTTATTCAAATGGTCTTGGCATGGAGGAAGAGAAAATGAGGCCAGTGCCCCAGATGAACTCTAAACACACAGAAACGCATCCGTTCTCCACAGATGTGGTCAAGCAAACACTCTACTACCTTCATCATTGGGCTACAAATATATTTAAGATGGGAATGCATTGCAAACACTGACAAACCTCCGAACTCAAGGGGGCGATAGAGAGAGTTTCCTTTTAAGCAATAAACAGCGAAGATTCTCCTCAAACTGTTGCCATGGCCGTATTTAACCAAAACTAATCG